AGGGAGACCATGGCTGTGAGTGGGCTTTGTAAACCTGTAGAACATTAGATAAATATCAGCTATCGTTAGCACTTTCACCCTGGTTATCATCTCAAGACACAGAAAGGGTATGTGTCTGGCAGAAAATAATGAAACTGATACTCAACAAGGGGAGATTTCAAAGACCGTAGGCATTAGAGGAGCCCTGGTGGCGCAGTGGCTAAAGCACTCGGCTGCTAACCAAAAGGTTGGAGGTTCGAACTTATCAGCCTCTCCATGGCAGAAAGATGTGGCAGTCTCTTTCTGTAAAGATTATGGCCTTGGAAACCCTATGGGGCAGTTCAACTCTGTCTCATAGGGACACTGAGTCTGAATTGACTCGATGGCAACGAGTTTGTTTGTTTTGGTACTGTAGTCATTAAAATGGTCGAGTTTATTAGGAGCAGGAAGGTGATTCTATTTCTCCCACCCAAAGAATCTTAAGGTAATTCATCTGTGACAGGCTTCAATACATTTCTGGAGAGTGGTGCCCTGGGCAGTTATAGCATCTCTAGCTGTTTTAAGCTGAAGTAATGCTGCCCTCCTACATGTGTATATATATGTATATGTATATACATATATGTACATGTATATAGATGTATACATTTCAAAGTAAGTTGTAGACATCATGATACTTCATCCTAAATACTTTGTCACGTCACTTAACTCCTCAAAACAAGAGCATATTCCTGCATAATCAGAATACCATTAACATATTCAATAAATTAACATTGTTATATTTCTATTATCTACTATATAGTTCATATTCACATTTCTCTAACTTTCCCCCCAAATCCTTTACAGTTTTTGTTGTTTTTTTTGGATTGAGAACCCAATCAAGGCTCGTGTCTAACATTTGAATGACATGTCACCTTAATCTCCTTTAATCTAGAATAGTCCCTCTAACTTTTCTTACACCATTGGCAATTTTGAAGAATATAGGTCAGTTGTCTTGAGGAATGTCCTGTCATCAGGAGTGGTCTAATTCCTCATGGTGGGACTCAGGTTAAACATTCTGACAAGCATATTACGTGAGCGATGTTGCGTAATTCCTACTACATCATCAGCTGGCACTTGATGGTTTGTCCCATTACTGGATAAAGATGGTGTTCACCAGACCTCTCCATCGTAAAGCTACCTTTTTCCCTTTGTAATTGATAAGCTGTGAGCTGTGAGTTGATCTTTCGATACCCTTCCTCAATACGTTCACACGCACCATAATTATAATTATTCCTTAACCATGAAGAAAAATTGCTACAAGTGGTAAGAGGCTCCCCACCAAAAAATTCATTCATGAATTATTCCACTTAAGTAAAAAAAAAAAAAAAAAAAAAAAAGGAGGAGGCATGGGATGAAAGCAATGTTACCGCAGGAGAACTTACTTTGTTGACACCATTTATCTACATTTAGTTCCTGCTCGCTCCCTGTGCAACTTGTAGTCCAGCAGGAGATCTTTGAAATAAAAACACTTAATTACCTTTAGCAACTCATCTAGTTTGAACGAAAACTCCTGCATTAAATAGGCAAAGTGATGAGGATGTGAGTAGAGTAGATGACAGGGTTGAGGTAGGGCTGGGGATGGCAGTAGAAACGACAGAAGTTCATTTAGGGTAGTGCTTATCAACACTATTTGTGGCCTAGAATGTACTTACGGTAAAATTCTGACACAGAGCAAGAGCGGACTCTTAACATCTCCCTTGTGTCAGACCCTCCTGATGCAAACACACTTCTGTGCAGCCTTCCTTCCCTCTCATCTTCAGGCAGACTTACGGGCCCAGTTTCTATGCTCATGTAGTGCCTCGGTCACACCCAACCCAGTAAAGGTATCTGTATAAAATCTCTAACCTGTTTGCCTCTTCCCTGTCCTTCTCTGGAAGCTGTGAGCTTCATGAGAACAGAGCCTCTGCATCTGGGTATCTCTAGCACCCAGCAGAGTCATAGGCAGAGAGCCGCTGTTCAGGAAATATTAAAGGGGTAGAGCAGTAAATGGCGGTTATGTTATTATTCCTTTGCATATTGCCTTTACCTAGCCAGTAAAAGATACAGCTGGAAATCACACCAAGGCATTCTGGCCCCTGAACCCACATTCTTAACCAACAGTTCCCATGGCATGTTATCTCAAGGTGCAATGAATGACTCATTACGGAAGGTAAAGTCCCTACCCATTGTTGTTGCTGTTAGTTGGTTCCAACTCATGGCGATATTACGTGTAACAGAATGAAACACTGCCTGGTTCTGTGTCATATTCATGATCGTTGGTATCTTTGAATCTATTATTGTGGCTATTGCATCAATCCACTTCATTGAGGGCTTCCCTTGTTTTCACTGATCCTCCACTTTACCAAACAGGATGTCCTTTTTTTTTTTTAGTGTTCCATTTCATTTTTGATGACTGCCAATTTTCCTTGATTCATACTTTGGACATTCCACACTCATTTTGAGTCATGCCACACAAGGAAATGAAGATCCCAAAGGCTTTACTCCACCTTCATCAGTAAGGTCCACTCTACTTTCAGAAGGTATCTCTTCCCCAGTCATATTTTGAGTGCCTTTCAACCTGGGGGGCTCATTTTCCAGCACTATGTTGGACAATATTCTGTTGTTATATTTTTGTTATCTATATGTTGGGTTTTCACTGGCTCACTTTCAGAACTAGATCACCAGACTTTTCTTCCAATCTGTCTTAGTCTGGAAGATCTGCTGAAACCTGTCCACCATGGGTGACCCTGCTGGTATGTGAAATATTGTTGGCATATCTTCTGGCCTCATAGTAACATACAGGCCACCAGACTACGACAAACTGACATATGGGCGGTGGCCCTAGCCCTTAGCCAGGCATTAAAAGACTTCTCTAGATTGGGTCCACCTACTTCTCCAATTTTATCTCCCAATATTTGCTACTTCCAATATGGGCACTCCAATCCAACTGGTTTATTTGGTGTTATGTCAAAATTATACCCATCACAAATGACCCCACTTTCCTACTATCTTCCCACTTCTAAATTCCAATTAGCATAATTTAAAAGCCTTACTCAAAGTCTAACTACTCCATAAACAGTTTTTCCTCCTTGCCTCTCTTTTTCTGAATTCTCAAAGAACATTAGCTGAACTTCTATTAAGTCACTTGTAACTTTTTATCTTGTGTTATGATAAAACACCATAGCCCCATACATATATTACACTATAACCACCTTTAAAGGTAAGCCCATGTCAGCCTATCTCAGTATTTCTCTAAAATGCCTAGTAAGATAGACTGCACATAATAGGCAGTTGGTGGTTTTCTGGACTAAGTAAATTTTCCTTGAGTAATTAAGGCTTCAACGCATATTTTGCTTATTCTGTCTGGTTAGAAGAGAACGCTCATCCCTTATTTTTCACTTATCCAAAGCTGATCTCCTCCATAAAACAATTCCAAAAGATCTAGGCTGGTTAGTTCTCCTTATCTTCTATAGCATGGTGTTTAAATGTCTAGAGCAAGAGCCTGGATTCTAATCCTAGTCCTGCAACTTATTAGCTGTTGATGTGGAGCCAATTACTTAACATTCTTGTGACTCAATTTCCTAACCTGGAAACAACAATAGCATCTGCTTCACAGGGTTATGTTTTCCTGTAAATGAGTTAATTCATGTAAAGCACATAAACTAGTGATTGTCATATGATAAGCACTCAATAAAAGTTAGCTATTATTCCAGATTCTCTCTCGTGGTTAGTAATATTCATTTGGCAATGATTTTATACTGATTGGTGACATCCGTTTTATTGTTGCCAGGAACTTAAATCAGGTATTGTTAATAAGTTTTTATACATGCTTATCTTGTTTTCTTAAATAAACTGTAAGCCCAAAAGAGCAAGGGAGAACTTTGATTATTGATCATATTATACATGGCAAGAACTAGGCTAAGTGCTTCGTATAAATATTTCATTCAATACTCAAAATAACAGTGTAAGTTAGCTATTATTTACATATTATAGATAAAACAAAACAAAAATGAAGGTTTAGAGAGGGTAATTCATCCCAGTTTTCTAAGCTAGCAAATAGTAGAGTTAGAATAGTCCTTGAAGACAAAGATACTATTTAATTTATATCTGTTTTTCAGAGTGCTCAATATATATCCATTACACAATTCGATTCAATTTTCTTTATTGCTACGCAGCTTGTTGCTACAACATTTGAAGCATACATACTTGGTATGTTAGCTTTTCATTTTGAAATGCTCCTTAATACTGAGACTTTAGTTCTCACTTCTAATATGATTTTTTTTTTAAGGTTTATCTCAGACTCCAATATAAAACCAGCCTAATGGCAAGAGCATGATACACTTTTAGTGTGTATATTTTCTATGTTGTGTCCATAGCAGCTCACAAATGGCAGACAATTTATAATTTGTGCTACACGACCGGGCAGTGTTTCGCTCTGCTGTACACAGGGTCGTTATGAGTCGGAACAGAATCCACGGCCCCTAACAACACCAACAATGGACTGAATGGATTAGTGGTTCGTAATTGTTCACTGGTTTGGTGAAGGGACAAGTTAAAATAAAACAAAACAAAAACTACCTATGTAACATCTTGTTACTCGGACGGGTAAAGGCTTGTGAATGTGGAGCTTCACCAACGCCCAATTCTGCATCTTGTGCGTGGATCTTTCGGACAGTGAGAAACTTGAGTGCACAAAGAAACCCTATTTCTGCCTAATGGGAAGCTAATTAATGGCCAAAAAAATTAATAATTTAAATATCAAATTTTTCCCGCAAGAAACTCCAATTACCATTGAGGTTTTTATGTAAGCTAAGCAGGTATCACATTCAAGATAATCTCAGAAAGCAAGTCCCACAATTGCTCAGTTGGGGGCGTATGCATACCAACTCCCATGCATCCGGACTCAAATACTTTACCAGTGGGGCTGATAATACTCTAAATTACTATGTAAGGAAATCAGAACAGGACATTGGATTCAGCAGTCAGCTCTAGACCCCACTCACCAAAGTATTCATCGGCAGGTGGATTTTCCATGTCATACAGCATCTTCTTGGTCAGGTGCTCGAGCTCATCTTCCGGACGGAATGAGGAGGGGGCAGCTGGAGGCCCCATCGACCCTGGGTGTCCACCCTGAAAAGCAAAACATCATGGTCTTTTAAATCCAACCTAGACATCAACAAAAGCAATTTGCCTGAAGAAGTCACGTTTTGCACTACAGAGGGAAAAAGCACTGGAGTGGACCATTAGGAGACCCAGGTTTTAGAAAATTTTATTACTTATTCAGTGTCTGACCTTAGACACATCACTTTATTCACCTGCCGTATGTAGAGGAGCCATCTAACAGGCTTTAGAAATCCATGTTTACAACAGGAGGAATCTCCTCTTCTGGAGGGGCTGTCAGGTAGCAAGCACTGTAATTATAAAGTCAAATTATTCAGGGTTCCTGTCTTCAACAACTCACAGTGTAGGAAGAAACAGACATGAAAATAGATCATTACAAGAAAATGTAAGCACTAAAACACAGGTATGAATCCAGTGCCCTGAGATAGGAGAAGGCTGCCAGAAACGAGATAACATCTTAGTTTGATCTTGAAGGATAACTGGGATCTCACCAGATACTTAAAAAGAAAAAAGAAAGGACAAAAGAAAGAAAGATGGAAGGAAGGAAGAAGGACCTTTCAAGGACAGTACATATAAAAGAACGTGTTTTTCAACAACAATGGTGAGAAACAGAGAAGGAGCAGAGTTAGGAGTCTCCGGGTGGCGCAAACACTTAAGCACTGAAAGGTTGGTAGTTCAAACCCACCGAGAAGTGTCTTGGAAGAAATGCCTGCGATATGCTTTAGAAAGATCACAGCCTTGAAAACCCCATGGAGTAGTTCTTCTCTACACACATGGGGTCGCCATGAATTGGAATCGACTCAATGGCAATGGGTTTTAGAGCTAAGATGAGGCTAGAGAGGTAGGCTGAAGTCAATGCCAGGATATTGTTTTTTAGGCAACAGAGAATTATTAGTGGATTTTAAGAGTATGGCTGACTTTATTAAGGTCATGCTTCTGAACTATGCAAATCTGCAAACATCTTCAGACACCAAGGCCAATGATACCTTAAAAATTGCAACCAGACATCATTTCTGAGCAATTTAAAGGCTAGTATGCGTAAAAAGGATTCTAATACTGTGGTGGAGACAGGTCACCGTTCTCTCTTCTTCCTGGGCATACAGCTAGACTGTATTTCCCACCCTCCCTTGCTGTTACACATTGCCATGTGAGGCATAAGACGGAAGGAGCCCGGGACCTGAGTTACCACGTGAAGGAGAGCTATCCACTGCCTCAAACTCTTAAAGGAGGAATACAGAAAGAAATATGCTCAAAGGCTAATGGTTGAAAGTGATGGGTAAGTGGGTGGTTTATATTTTTTCTATTTATATGTTT